GGGTCGTCCAATGCCTCCGCTTGTGCAGGCAAGAGGGGAGGGAGGTTGATTCCATTCAGGAAACTGTCTATATCAACTGTTGAGGATGGGTTGGGCTCCGAATAGAGGGATGAGAGGTGCTTATGGAAGAGGTCCAGAATGGTGAGAGGATTACTAGTGGGGGTTCCCGAAGCGGCGCGTAATCTAAAGGGTTTGAAGGAAGGGTCAAGAGATCTTAGTCTGTTTGCCAGTAAGGTGTCTGCTTTGTTTCCCTTAAGGTAAAATTTGTGGGCCGTGCGTTGTAATTGCTTGGCTGCATGGTCAGTCAGTAATAGATTAAGCGCTTGGCGAGCCGCGTCAAGTTTAGCTCTATTAGACGGTGTAGGGGAGCAGGTAAAAGCTTGGGCACAGGAATAGTATTCCTGTTCTAAAGACGCCAGGCGTTTAAGCCTTTCCTTCTTAAGTTGGGATGCCAGTTGAATGATTTTTCCTCTAAGCACTGGTTTGTGGGCTTCCCACGATAAAGTTGGGGATATGTCTGGCGTCTGATTGATTTCCATGTAGTCGGATAAGCATGACTCAATGGCGTTCTTAGTGGTAGGGTCAGATAATAGGGAATCGTTCAAGGTCCATGTGAATGGCTTATTGTGGGGGGAAATACCTGAGAGAAGTAAGGTGACTGCAGAGTGGTCAGACCATGGTATGGGAAGAATTTTAGATTGCATGATAGAGGGAATTAGAGAGTGGGAGACGAGAATATGGTCTATTCTGGAGAAGACGTCATGTGGATGAGAGTAATGCGTGAAGTCTACCTTATGAGGGTTCACCTCTCTCCAGCAATCAATGAGTGCATGAGTAGAGAGGATGTTACGGAATGCTTTGGCTGATGTCAAGTATGTTGGAGTATCGTTAGATCTGTCTTTATGAGGTAGGAGGACTAAATTTGAATCGCCACATAGGATGACCGTGCCCGTGCTGCTAGCCTGAATTTTTTCCATTAGACCTGTGAAAAAGGGGAGTTGATCAGTGTTGGGGGCATAGTATGAGACTAGAGTGACTTCAGAATCATGTAAAAGACCCGTGAGTATTAAGTATCTGCCAAGGGGATCTCGGATTACGGAATGGCATATGAAGTTGGCTGAGCGGCGAAAGCCGATCAATACTCCCTTTCTCTTACAATTGTCGTTGGCCATGTATATGGTAGGGTATTGGGCGTGAAAATATTTAGGGCATGAGGACCTGGAGAAATGGGTCTCCTGTAGGCAGACAATGTCCGCATGAGAGGAGCGAAAGAATCGGAATGCTCGCGTTCTCTTGTTAGGGGAGTTAAGGCCTTGGACATTGAGGCTTAAAATTTTGATGGTCATGTCAATAGAGGTGGGGGAAGATGCCCCAGGAGTCTAATGAGGGGTGGATACGGGACCATATTTGAGCCATAACCAGGTCCTATCATGCAGCCTGGGAGAGGGGGAGATAGAGAGGGCAGGAGGAAAGTGGGAGAAGGAAGAAATGAGAGAGAGGAGGACAGGAGGTAGGGGAGTGCCATGAAAATAACATAACAATAAGTGCTATACGAAAAAAACAAACAAAAAACATTTTGCAGCAAATGCTGCCGGCGGAAAATCTCCGCAACTATGTCGTGTCGTTGGGTAGAGGGATCCATGTGATCCATGTCTACCCAAGGTCAAGGGGGCACATTGACTAACTCCCCCGGACAATCGAATACATTAACATGCCAAAACATCACTATATGAATGGTCTAAGAGCTGTAATATCAACCATTTCAAAATAGGGAAACATAACTTGTGCATAGTAGAATAGGATCAAGCAGATAATCGAGAAGCACTGCATTGAAAGCCCTTTGCAAACAACTGTTTCACAGGATATAGGAACAGTACATTCAGACATATCTATGTAAACTGAATGCGGTGCAACCCTAATTAAATAGGGCTTATCCGTGTGGTGTGCCATAACTACAAGACTCGGCAACATTCGGTAGAAAAAACAAAGGCAAGCCAGACGCTGCCACCACAGGAGGATCAATCGGGGCCATTCAGGGCAACGATCTGTGGATCCCGGCAAAAGATCTCTTATTGAGTCGCCAGAGGGACGGTGTTAACTGCCAGGTAAAGTACCAGAGTCGATCAATCCGATGAGCCTTGCCTGGGTGTCATCTCAGTGGCCGGTCCACGGAATTCTCCCGAGTGATTATGGTCGGAGTCACTGCGGGTACGCTTCGATGAGGAGGTCGGGGTGTTGGATGGGCCCTGTGGGGATGAACGATCTTTTGGCCGCTCTTAGACCTGGATTGCGACATGGATGGCGCCGTGGGCCGTTCTGAGGGCAAGGGAATAGGGCAAGGTAAGTGAGTTTCGGCTAATGGGGAGCAGTTGGCTCCGTGCTTATGGGGTAATTGTCCGGAGGAGTCGCGGAGCTGTCTCACTTACCACCCGTCATCGGCAGCTGCGCGCATGCGCCTCGGGGGACATGATTTTCATGTACAAAATGTTCCATAGTCATAGCAACATTAGCAACAAACTCTTTGAGATTAATTCCGTAACAAAGACTAGAGGACACCACCTAAAACTGGTAGAAAAAAAATGTGAACACAAGGGGCGAAGGGGGTTCTTCTCAGTTCGCACGGTTAGGGTCTGGAACTCACTGCCTCAAGCGGTAATTTCCGCAATTAATCTGGAATCATTCAAGAGGCTTTTGGACGACTTTCTGAGAGACCGAAATGTACAAGGGTACAGGTACTCTTAAGAATGAGAACACTCATGGACCTATACACACACACACACACACACACACAACAGGTTGGACTTGATGGACTTATGTCTTTATTCAACCTCAAATACTATGTAACTATGTAACTATGTAACCCAGAATTGATCTGTAGCAATGGCGTCTGATGTTTATCCATGAAAGTTTACCCATGAAAGCAGAGGATAGAGATCGATCTGTACTGCAGAGTATACATATACAATAGATATCAATACAAATATATACATTTACATTAATGTTGTTTAACCCTTTTTGCTGCCAGGGCGTTTTTTGTTTTTGTTTTTTTTGCACACATGTTATAATCCACATTTTAGGCCTGAAAATTACTTACAACCCAGAATTATATATTTCCCGAAAGCACAGATCCTGTAGAATAAAATGGTGGCAGTTGCAAATGTTTACATTTCATGATATTAGCGCAACACTTAATCAAACCCAAAATTACACTCAAATTTATTGCAGTGCACAAAAACATGTAAACAATATAATACCAAATTTGTTGTAAAAAAAATAAAAGAAGAGGTTATGCCGAGTAAATAGATACCCAACATGGCAAGCTTAAAAATTGCGTGCGCCCATGAAATGGCGACAAAATATGGTGCCCCAAATTGTCTAAAGGCACGCTTTAAAAGTCTCTATGGATCATCAGTTTAGAGTTAACTGTAAATATTGGCGGGAAAATTATTGCTCTCACTCTGGCATACGCGGTGATACCCAACGTGTAGTGCACTTGTCGTACGTAGGTGCACCTGACGTGTGTTTACGCTACTATGCGCCTGAGAGACTATAACATTTTTGGGGTATTTTTAAATGCATTTTATTTCACTTTACTTTTTTTAAACTTTTCTTTTTTTTTTTAAATTTTCTTTGCACTTAACTTTATTGCTATCACATATGGAGGCTCACAAGCCGCCTATGTGATAGCATATTAGTGGTGACAGGTACTCTTTAAGGTGACTTTAGAAGTCTATTAGCCCCCTATTGCCACCTTTCCTCTTCAAAGAAGCTATTCAGGTGCAGATTGGGCTTGAATAGCTTCTTTCCCGGCTTGACAGCTGAAGAGCCGGAAGTGGTGCAATCAGTGGCTCTTCCGGCTCCATTCAGGGGATGTTCCCCGGTCTCTGTCCCTGCTTCCCGCTGCTGTCCCTGCTTCCCGCTGACACCCGAGGAGGAGCAGTGGAACCTGGGAAGCAAAGTGGGGAGTGTCGGGCAGAGGGGGGAATTAGTTTACTACCCTGTGAAAGCGATCTGGCGGCAGCTCAGTCACTGGAATCACTTTCAGTGTAGAGCCAACAGTCTGCTTTACGTAGGTAAACAGAGTCTTGGCAGCGCCACTGGTAGTCCATTTACAGGGGCCTGCTGCCAGCGCCATAAGGTCTGAATTACTGAGTATCCCCCTCCTCTCAGTGATGCTAGTGGCAGTGGTCAACAAGGATATACAGTTTTCAAAGGCAGAGAGCACAGAAAGTTTTCAGCTCGCAAGATTTCTGGCAGGAGCAACAGATATTGTTTTGCACTTAATGCACAGATGTAACAAAATGCTTTCAGTGGTATATTTAACAAACAAAGAGAGAAAATAAAATCAGCAAATTGTTATAGTGTACATACACTAACCCCTCCCCCCCAAAAAAATTAACATACAGTTAAAGTCCCTAATACCATATGTGTGTCGCTGGATTATAACAAAACATTTGTTTTTTATCTTCTTAACTTTATGCGTTGTGCACATTCTGCCTCATTCCTTCTGACCACTTCCGTTTTGTGCACCTGTACCATAGACATGGGTGTACGTATCTCTTTAGTGATGTTGTCAAAAAGTGTGCACCCAAAAGAGCAGTGTTTCTTAAACTATGGGTCAGGACCCAAATTGGTTTGTGAATTGTTTTGGGATGGGTCACCACTTGACTTTGTGTTCAAACACCAAATCCGCAGATCATTGGCTAGTCATATCACAATGACTGTGATTAACAGCACAAACATGTATGGGAGGGAGTGTATGCAGTGGGGGCAGAGGCAATTACCCAAACAAGATTGTGAGGTGAAAAGACTTAGCGCTTTTTGGAAATGTATACTGCAGAATAAAAACACAACAAAGACTGTTTCACTCTTAGCTCTAAAACTTAGCTCTAAAAACTCTATCTCTCTAAAACTTACAAACTTGAAAAGGAGACGAACACCTGCAAATGTGTTGTATGTGGGAAATTGTCCTTGTAAGGCTTTAATAGAAATGGGTCCTATTACAGTAACAATATTCTTTTAAAGTGCAATAGAGCCTCGGTAGCTGATATTAATCATTAGCGCTACACTATAAGTGGGCAATCATGCTACAAGTGCTGGCTGTGTGTTGACACATACAGTTTGTAATCCACACTGTTTTCCAGGGTGACAAGATTGTTTTGGCATAGGTGAAAGTTTAGGCAGTGTTGTCACCCTAGGACAGGACGTGAAGGAGCTGGCAGGATCACCAGGTGGGACAAAGGCAAAAAGAAGAAATGAATTACAACACTGCAACAACTGAAGGGTAAGATACTATTTTATGATTTTTTTTAAGTTTATACACACTTAAACAAAACAGCATTACTCTTACTGACAGGCAAACTTTCTAATTGCTAGTTCTCATATAAAACACTATTGTGTTGGATGATTTCTGATGTACACTCTTACCCAAGCCTTGATACACAGCAACTGGCTTTAGTGATTTGGTGATCTCGTTCTGCACAGAGATTTTCAAGCTCACCAGGCAATAATCTAGACACCAAAAGACTCATGCAACTGATGGTGTTGCTCGGCCCCTCTCATGCTTTACAACATCAGGGCATAGAGGAAGCAGCCTGACTGAGAAACTGCATGAATGTGCTCCCTCTGTGCCCTGATACTATAAATCACAGTATGAGGGGGGCCGAGTGACACCATGAGTTGCATGGTGTTTCTAGTAAATAGCCAGCAGTTTCCAATGCTAATTGCTGGAGAGTGGATAGAAGTCAAACATGTTGCTAAGCATTTATCAAGGTACATATATTAGTTTGCTGTTTAATGTTCATTAAGTAATTCTAGGGTGAGCTTCAACTTTAAGTAGAGTCTACCTGGTGTTTGTTACAGTGCAGATGTCAGGTACCTGAGTGGAGGCTTCCCTTGCAGAGGAGGCTTCCCTTGCAGCTTGTGTCCCCGAACCCTGAGGATGGGAACAGAGGAGGAGTGACAACGAGCAGTACGAGTGCCAAGCCATGATATAGACACCGTGCAGAGTAGAAAGTCCTGGATCTGTAACTGAGGCAGGTCAAGCAGAGCCAAGGTCAAACCAGACGGGCAGCAGGGTAACGGAGCAGAAGACAGGCGCGAGGTCCAATGGAAGCCAAGGGGTCAACGCCAGCCGAGCAACAAAGTACAAAAACAGGAGGCAGAAGGGAGTCCAATAAACAGGCCGAGGTCAGGAGGCAGGCAGCAATCAAGAGAGGTCAGAGGAAATCCGGGTCAAACACAGGAAGCAAGTCAGCAGGGTAGAGTCAAGGATACACAAGGAACCAGATCATCCAGCAACTAAGGATATGACGGGTGAGCTTATATAGGCCAATCCATTAGCAGGAGAAGCGTCACTTCCTGTGCGCCAGCCATGCACATGTTTCCATGCGGAAGTCTGTTGCATGCGCACTAGCGCACATTTTCCAGTTACCCGGAAAACGTGACCATGCGTCTGTGCAGATGTGGTTGGTACCTTATGTGTCTTTCTGGAACTTATAATAAAGTCTTAATTGGTGTCTAATGGAACTGGATCTTCATCTACATTCATGTAACAACTATTCAGAAATGTAACTCTATTACAGTAGAAATTATGGAAAATGTAGCTGGCTGTGGAAGTTCAGCTATAGTTAAATACCACAGCTTTACAGATGTGTATTTCTAAATTTCAGACCAGAACAGTTACAACATGAACATTTAAGACAGGGCCTTACCAGCAGTCCATTGAAGACCTTGGGCTAATTAGGTTTGGAGATGTCTCTGCATTTCTTCTAATTTGAATTCGATTTAATGTGCTGACTCCCATGGCTGCCTAAATACAGATTTAAATCTTACCATCTTGTTACCGACTTTGGCATTATGGAAAAATGAGAGGAGCATGGTGTTCAGCACCACTTTCCTTTTCCTGCCACCCAGTTTGAGGTTCATCAGACCTCCCTACCATCATAAGCAGCAAATCTGTTTTTCATAAAATTACAATCTCTTCAAAGAAGTTACAAAGAAATAAAGGGACATTTTATGAAATGTATATTCCTTGTTGAATAAATGGAAAACGGCCTGCATATAAAAAAATAAATATTCACTTAAAGCAACATTTAACTGAGTGGAATGTGATCAAATAGTATAATACACAGGA